AGTGCGGAGTGGCGGGGCCAGCGCGGCATGACGGGGCCAGCGCGGCGTGACGGGGGGGGAGTACGCCGCGGAAGCGTGAGGAGAAGGCCCGAGCTAAAGGGGCCTGCACTGATACCAGGTTAAACTAAGGTACCGTATTCCGCCGTAAATAACAACCGCTGGAATAGTCACTTCGTGGGTGGTTTATGTGGGGTAGAGCTTCTAATAGGGTGCATTTAGGAGAGCACCCCCTTTTCAGAGGTTGCATTTTACATAACACCATCCTCGTTTAATACAGCAAAGAACAGTATTTCGTAGTTTTTCAAGGTCAGCTCGATTGAAAAAAAAAAAACGAAATGGATGAAAAACGCAATGTCAACTACCATTAGCAGCGAAAAAACGGGCAGAAACATCAACACAAGTTGCAGCGCGAAATCGAAACGTCAGCAAGGTCGAGACTTGGAAGGATTTTGTTCGTCGAAGTCGCGGATTCTGTTGTGATTTGACGGTCAAAATCCTCCCGAGCGAAATCTTCTCATGTCTTGACTGTCGCAGGTGCGGCAGGAGCCTGGCCCTGACCACAGCACGCAGCAGGGATTGGCCAACGACGCCTGGTTCGTGAGTTTTGTCTTAGCGGATGCTGTACATCGCTAATAGTCGCTCCGCGCATTTGTGAACACACATGGCCTGAAACGCTGAAATTCAAATTGCATTTTACATAACACATGGGCACTATATTTTTCCGGGCCACTATACATATGATCTATGTAGAAGTTATAGGCTAGACTAGGTGTGTGTTTCTAGTGAGTACAACCCAAAAGGTATATGTTCTAGGTTTCTCCTTCTAGTAAATCATTCACGTAATCTAACATGGTATCGAGTAGGTTAGGTCCCCCCGCCCGCTTCCGCCCGCGCCCTAGTCTCTCGTTCGCCCCTAGCTGGCCCCCTGGCCGTCGCGTTCGCCCCTAGTCGCCCCCCTGGCCGTCGCGTTCGCCCCTAGTCGGCCCCTGGCCATCCCGTCCGCCCCTAGCCGGCCCCCTGGCCGTCGCGTCCGCCCCTAGCTGGCCCCTTGGCCGTCGCGTCCGCCCCTAGTCGGCCCCCTGGCCCTCGCGTTCCCCCCTAGCTGGCCCCCTGGCCGTCCCGTTCGCCCCTAGCTGGCCCCCTGGCCGTCCCGTTCGCCCCTAGCTGGACCCCTGGCCGTCGCGTCCGCCCCTAGTCGGCCCCCCTGGCCGTCGCGTCCGCCCCTAGCCACCACCCTGGCCGTCGCTTCCGCCCCTAGCCGGCCCCCTGGCCGTCGCGTCCGCCCCTAGCTGGCCCCTTGGCCGTCCCGTCCGCCCCTAGTCGGCCCCCTGGCCGTCGCGTCCGCCCTCAGCTGGCCCCCTGGCCGTCGCGTCCGCCCCTAGTCGGCCCCCTGGCCGTCGCGTCCGCCCCTAGCTGGCCCCCTGGCCGTCGCGTCCGCCCTTAGCTGGCCCCCTGGCCATCGCGTCCGCCCCTTGTCGGCCCCCTGGCCGTCGCGTCCGCCCCTAGCTGGCCCTCTGGCCGTCGCGACCGCCCCTAGCCGACCCCCTGGCCGTCGCGTCCGCCCCTAGCTGGCCCCTTGGCCGTCGCGTCCGCCCCTAGCCGGCCCCCTGGCCGTCACGTCCGCCACCAGCCGGCCCCCTGGCCGTTCGCGCCCACTCCTAGCCGGCCCCTTGGCCGTTAGCGCCCGCCCCTAGCTAGCCCCACTGGCCGTCGCGCCCGCTCCTAGCTGGCCCCCCCCCTGGCCGCACGCGCCCGCTCCTAGCCGGCCCACTGACCGTCGAGCCCGCTCCTAGCCGGCCCCAGCAGCGCCCACTCGCCCCCTCCTCGAGCCCGCCCGGCCCCCAGTCGCGTTTGCCTGGCCGCCCCGCGCGTGCTAGGCCCCTCCTAACGCCAGCCCGATCCCAGTGCGCCCGCCAAGCCCCTCCTCGTGCCTGCTCGGCCTGCCATGCCACCTCGGGCCCCGTGTCCTCTGCTAGCCCGTGCTGCGGCGCCCCGCAGCCGCCCTACTGCAGAGTACTACTGCCGTGTCCCCGTGCCGCTATGCTCCTGCCGAGCTGTGGAGCTGTGCCGCTGTGTCGCTGAGGAGCTTTGTCGCTGACCCTGCACGATGGCTGACTTCGTGCAACACCTGGACGCTGAGGGCCACGCGGTTGACTTTGTCTCCTGGCTCTCCGATCTCCGCCGCCAGCTTACAGGTCAGCGCCAGGATGGACACTCGCTGGTTGTCCATGCTGATGGCTTGCTCCCCCGCCCCCCTGCACCTGCTCCCCTTCCTGCTTACCCCACCTCTGCTGAAAGTGAGGCTTTCTCTACTGCTGCGCTTGCCTGTGCGGTCTGGGACTCACGCGATGCAGTAGCTCAGGTTGCTATCAGTCACGCCCTCCCTGTGTCTGAGCGATCGCGTTTCGCTACAGTTGATATGGCCAAAGCTTATTTATGCGCTGTTATTGCTCGCTATTCCACACCTGCATCCGCTTCTGCCGGCCGCCTGCTCTTCCCGATGCTGTTCCCAGACCTTGCTGCCTTCCCTACTGTCGCAGACTTTGCCACTCACTTGCGTGCCTTAAAGACTCGCTATCGCATTGCCAGCACTGCTGCCCAGCTCACTGCGCTCCCCCCCCCCTTCTGCATGACCCTCTAATTTATCGCCATGCGCCTGCCGGACCGCCTAGCTAGTGCCCGCGACTGCTTCCTTAGCCAGCACCCGGGTGACCTCACACTGACTGCCTTTGTCGACACCCTCACCGAGATCGAGACGCGCCAGCGCACTATCGCTCAGTCGAGCGGTGCGCCGGCAGTCTCTATCTTTCACGGCTGTGCCCCCTCCCAGTGCACGTTTACTGATGTTTTGGCTGCGGTCGCCACTGCGACCCCTCTTACCAAGACGGCTGCTGCGGTCGAGGGAGGTCGTGGTCGTGGCCGTGGGCATGGCGGTGGCCGTGACCGCCAGGGAGGTCGTGGTAGTAGCACAAGTGGTGGTGGTAGTAGTGGTGGTGACGGTAGTCCACTTGAGGGGACTACCACCGGTGGGCAGGAGCAGACGCAGTCGCCTTCGCAGCCGGAGCAGCCCCAGCAGCAGCCGCCGCCGTCCCAGCAGCAGCCGTCACAGCCGTGGGCTCGTCTCCCACCTGGTTGGCCCGGCACCTCCGGCGGTGGTTGCCGAGATGGTGGCCCGCGCAGCTTGGCGTCTCCCGGCAGCTCAAGTGCTGTGACCTGCCAGTACCAGCTTCAGACCGAGCCTCTCCGCAGCACTCTGTGCCGCCGCCCGCACCCGATCGCCCGCTGTTTCTGCCGCCTCGACGATCTCTTTCGTCGTCGCTTTGGCCCGGCCCCGGACCTCCCCGACTGGCACAGCCTGCTTCGCCAAGGCGTGCCGATCTTTGAGTTAGATATGGATCAGATAGGTGCTGCTTTGCATGCTTTGTATGCTGACGCTTCTAGTGTCGCTTGATCTTATTACCCTGTGTACTCTAGCTTAGGTGTCTTACCCTTGTGTAGCTTAGCCTTCCCTGCTGTGTCAGACGTAGGAATGCCTCGTTTGCCTAGCCTAGGTTCTGCACCGGCTCCGTTCCCAGCCTCCGCCACTGCCTCGTTGTCCTTCACTCTCGACTCCGATGCTTCTGCCTGTTTCTTCCGCGACCGCTCCACGCTTACGCTCCTTGCTGCACCTGCTGTTGTCTCTCTCGCAGACCCCTCTGCGGGTTCTATCGTCGCTCGCAGTTCTACGTCCCTTCCCTTTCCAGCAGTTCCCTCGGGCTCCCTTACAGGCCTCCACGTTCCCTCGTTCTCAAGGAACCTGGTTGGTGTCGGCTGTCTTCAGGACCTCGGCGTCACCACTACGTTCCCCGGGCTCGAGCGTTTCGCTGTCTGTTCAGAGGCTGTCTCCCGTTCCCCACTCACTACGTTCCCCCAGGAACCGGTGTCCGGACTGTTCACCCTAGACACCGCTTCCCCCCCGGTTGGAGCGTCCTCCCAGGTCGCTGCAACTTGCTCGGGTCGGTCTCTCACTCACCCGTCCCTTTTGTGGCACCACCGCCTAGGTCACCCTGCACTCCCGCGTCTGCGTCAGATGTCCCAACACGGTCTTGTCTTAGGCCTCCTCGCGTCGCTCCGCGTCGCTCCCCGCCCTTCCCCTCTCGCCTGCTCCACCGTGCACGCCCTGCGTCGAGGGCCGGCTCCGCCGTGCCCCTCACTCCTCCTCGCTTCGCCCTGCCATTGCTCCCCTTTAGACCCTGCACCTGGACGTTTCGGGCCCAGCCCCCGTCCCCGGACCGCGTGGCGAGCGCTACTTTTTTGTGCTCGTCGACGACTACACACACCACACCACGGTGTTTCCCCTGGAGCGGAAGGCCGATGTGCCCGACGTTCTTCTCCCGTGGGTTGTGGCTGCACGTCTTCACCGCGGTCTCCCCGTGTTGTGTCTCCACTCTGACCGTGGCGGAGAGTTCACTTCTCGTCGGCTTGGACAGTTCTGTCGTGCGGAGGGCATCACCCAGTCGTATACCTTGCCGGACTCGCCACAGCAGAATGGGGTTGCTGAGTGCCGCATCGGCTTGGTCATGGAGGTGGCTCGTACCTCCATGATCCTGTTGTGTGATGTCATCATATGCTATCACATTCTGTCTGCCTCCCATCCCATGTTTTTTCAACTTGCATGTGTGGTTTGAATGTGCAAGCATTTGTGTGTGGTGTGTTCTGGAGTTTGGGAATGTGTTTTGTGTTATTCTGTCTGAGCAGGTATTTGTGATAATAGATCTTGAGAAGATCTTTCCGACGCAACAAGAATCGCTTCAATCGGAGCAAGAACGCGAAAGCTATGAAGATTCAAAGTTCATGAGCTTGCGTTACAATTGCGGCGGTTACTAAGTGAAGTTGTGGGGTGACTTTATATGGAGTTGGGACCTTTGGGGTTGGGGAAACTTGTCACTCTACTGTAACAGCTGCAAATTGGTTGGGAACAACCAAGCTAGGTTGGCAAGGGTGGCCAACTTGGATGGATTGGTTGGGAAGGGACAAATGTCAAAGTTGGGGTTCCTATAGGGAGGGAATCTTTGTGCTTATGGGGTTTCCTTGGTTGGGGACTCTCTTGGGACCTTCCCTCTCATCCCTCTCTTCCTATCCCAACCTTTCTCTTGCTCCTTCTAATTCCTTGTGAGATTCTTGAACTTTCATTGAACTCTTGAGATTGAGTTAAGTTCTCCTCCTACAGCTTACCCCCTAGTGCGTCGAAAGCCATAGCGTCGCGAATACTTTATCAATCAACATGATTCAAATTGGGAACGGTAGCTGAGATTAAGAGCTACAACATATCCAAGTTTCGCGACATTCCAACGGCTAGTTGTTTGTCGACGTCGTTTCTTGTGAAGACGACTTTTCTGTCCAGAATTTCGGATTTATATTTTGAGTAATTCTAGCTCCTAAGTTCACCTAGACTCCGTCCTTAATCCTAACAAGTGGTATCAGAGCTGTATTAAGGACGTTGAGAGGAGTCTACAGAAGTGTGAAGACCCTTCTAGACCCACCATGGCCTGTGGGTGTGCCTAAGTGGTGTTCTAAAGGTTGGATGTGTCTTCCGCTAAGGGAAACTCTGCCGAAATTTCGTGGACGCCGACACTTGTGAAAATATCGAGGGAGCTGAGTGTGGACAGCAAAGGGGGGCTGAAATTCGTCATTTCTCAAGGAGAAGATGAATGAGAGAGGAGGAGATGCTAATGGAAGAGGAGCTGTAGCTGAGAAGACAAGTGAGCCGCCGCCATCAAAAGTTGAAGCTTTGGATGGCTCCAACTATGAGGAATGGAGCGGACGGATGAGGAGTGCCTTCAAACGCTACAAGCTACTGAAGATTGCTGTTGGGGAAGAGAAGATGCCGGAAGAAGGCGAAGCACGTGAACGGTGGATTGAGAAAAGCACGGTGCTTTTCGACCTCATCCTTCAATCGGTCAACAAGGAGATGTTCGAGCACATCAAGGATCTTGTGGAAGCGGATGATTCGGGTCCAAGGGCGTGGAAACTACTACGCGATGTGATTCAGCCCAACACTCTCCTGATGGTGATCGTGCTCGAGAAGGAACTTGCTGCCATCTCCATGCGACCAGGGGACGATGTGAAGCCGGTCCTTGACAAGATCAAGGACACCTATGCAAGGATGGCAGCAGCGGGCAGCAGTGTATCTCAGCTGCAGCAGTGCACCAAGATCATCTCGGTGTTGGACAACTCTTGGGACAACCTCATCCCCACCCTCAACTCTCAGCAAGATCAATGGACACCTGAGTGGCTAAGGCAGCAGATTCTGCAGGAGGACTTCCGCAGACGCCATGTGGGAGGCGGTGCTGCCACTAAGACTGCTGAGGGGTATGGAGCTGCAGGGCGCAGCAGAGGAAGAGGGGGTTGGAGAGGCCGAGGCCGTGGGAGAAGCTTTGGCAGAGGTAGAGGCCGAGGTGACTATAATGAGGGGCATGGGAGCTCCAGTGGCAGGGGGAGTACCAGAATGGAGGGCACCTGCTGGTACTGCAAGAAGGTCGGGCATCCTTGGTTCAAGTGCTTCAGCAGGCTGGAGGGATGGTCACCTCCAGGCATGAAGCCGCCAAGTGGTGAACGCGCACAAGGTGGCGCTGTGCAAGGCTCAGGTGCACAAGGTGAAGGTGCACAAGGTAACGCCTATCCTGGGATGTATCTCATGGTTGAGGATGTGCATGGGCATGAGGGTGATGTGGGATCTGTCGGAAAGGTTGTGATGCACCCTCTCACGCACTGGGTGATTGATTCGGGTTGCACCAGTCACATGACTCCACGGGCAGATTTGCTTGATGAGGTAAAACCCCCTGGGAAGATTAAGTATGTGGCAGCAGCGTCAGGTGCTTTGCTCCCCGTGATTGGTGTTGGGAATGCCAAGGTTAAGGGAGCTAATGGGGAGCTTGTGGGGCTTGGGAATGTTCTGCTGGTTGAAGGCTTGTCTGCTAACCTTCTCTCTGTGCGACGACTGCAGAAGAGCAAGGCCGAAGTGACCTTTGGACCAACCAGCTGCCGTGCTAAGCTTGGGAAGAAGGTGCTGTGGAGTCTGGAAGAGGAGACCAGCTGCATCAAGGACCTGTGGCAGCTGCCCATCATCCCATGGAATGGGAAGACTCCAACAGCAGCAACGGCAGCAGCGGCAAAGGCAACAGCAGGAGGAGATGCAACTGCACCAACTGATGGGGTCCTGGAAGCAGTCAAGAAAGTGCAGCAGCAGCAGACACATGGTGAGGTGCTTGCTGGTGTGGATGCAAGTGCGGCATGGGCTAAGGCTTCACCAAGGAGTGGAGAGGCCGATTGGGAGACATGGCATGAGAGGCTGTGTCATGTGAACTTCCCTATGCTGCAGAAGTTGGTGAAGGATGGGAGCCTGAAGGGCTTGGAGGTGAAAGGGGAAGTGAAGGAGATTGGGAGCTGCCCTACATGCTTGGAGACCAAGTTCTCCAAGTTCCCCTTCAACAGCACTACAGGACCAGCCAAGACCCCACTTGCACTTGTGCACATGGATGTGGTGGGGCCCACAAGAGCCCCTTCCCTCTCAGGCAGCCGCTATTTCTTGACAATTGTGGATGACCACACTCGAGCAGTGTGGGTTTACCCTTTGAACAGCAAGGGGGAGGTGGCAGCGGCTGTCCTTAAGGAGTGGATGCCGAGAGCTCAGAGGGAATGCGGACACAAGGTGAAGGTGATCCGTAGTGACAATGGTGGGGAGTTCATTGGAGCTGATTTTGAGGGGGAGTTGAAGAGGAAGGGGATCCAGCATCAACTGACAGTGCCCTACAACCCACAGCAGAATGGCGTGGCTGAGAGGTTCAACAGGACCCTGCAGGAGGGGGCACGCACTCTCCTTGGGCGTGCAGGGCTGCCTGATCCGTTTTGGGTGTCTGCACTGAGGCAGGTCGCCCTTGTGAAGAACAGGGTGCTGGCTACAGTTGGAGATAAGGAGTGGATCCCATACGTCAAGTGGTATGGGAGTGCTCCAGCTGTGAACATGCTGAGGGCATTTGGGTGCATGGTGGTGTTTCATGTGCCTAAGGAGAAAAGGGGGAAGTTGGAGGCTTCTGGAAGATGGGGTGTGCACTTGGGGATTGCAAAGGATCACAAGGGGTGGCTGCTATGGGACTTGACCACCCAGAAGTTGACAGTGTCAAGGGATGTGAAGTTTCTTGAGTCCCTGTACTACAAGGAATGGAAGCAGCAGCAACAGAAGCTTCCATCTACACCGCTCATTGTGGAGGCGGATGAGGTGCAGCGGCCTTCAAGACAGGTAGAGGTTGCAGTGTCAGAGGAGGAGATGTCTGGGGTGACTGAGGAAGGGGGAGCAGCTGAAGTAGAGCAGCAGCAGCAGCAGCATGAGTCTCCACCTCGAGTTCCACACCCGCCTGAGCGTCCTAGGAGGGATGTGCGCCCTCCAGTGAGGCTGACCTATGGGGGAAGAGGCAAGCCGAATGTGGTGCAGGCTGGGAGTGTGGTTGAGCAGATTGAGGAAGATGAGATCGCTCACTGCTACTGGGCACCAATCCCTGAGCCCAAGACTCGAGAAGAGGCCTTGAATGGACCAAATGGGGAGAAGTGGAAGGCGAGTGAGGATGAGGAGTTCGGGTCCCTAATTGAGAACGAGACATGGGACCTGTGTGACTTGCCTCCTGGAAAGAAGGCAATCACTTCCAAGATGATCTACAGGCACAAGTATGGACCTGAAGGGGAGCTGACCCGCTACAAGTCTAGGCTTGTGGCACGGGGGTTTCAGCAGACAAAGGGGAAGGACTATGATGAGGTGTTTGCTCCTGTGGGGAAAGGAACAACACTGAGGGTGCTGTTGGCGATAGCTGCACTCCTGGGATGGAAGATTCGGCATATGGATATTGTGACTGCCTTTCTGAATGGGATCATTATGGAGGAGGTGTACATGAAGCTTGCTGGGATGAGTGTGCATTGAGTATGCATGCTTGAGATGTGGTATGGTCGATGATGGTTGGCAGCCAGAGGGGGAGATTGTTGTGTGATGTCATCATATGCTATCACATTCTGTCTGCCTCCCATCCCATGTTTTTTCAACTTGCATGTGTGGTTTGAATGTGCAAGCATTTGTGTGTGGTGTGTTCTGGAGTTTGGGAATGTGTTTTGTGTTATTCTGTCTGAGCAGGTATTTGTGATAATAGATCTTGAGAAGATCTTTCCGACGCAACAAGAATCGCTTCAATCGGAGCAAGAACGCGAAAGCTATGAAGATTCAAAGTTCATGAGCTTGCGTTACAATTGCGGCGGTTACTAAGTGAAGTTGTGGGGTGACTTTATATGGAGTTGGGACCTTTGGGGTTGGGGAAACTTGTCACTCTACTGTAACAGCTGCAAATTGGTTGGGAACAACCAAGCTAGGTTGGCAAGGGTGGCCAACTTGGATGGATTGGTTGGGAAGGGACAAATGTCAAAGTTGGGGTTCCTATAGGGAGGGAATCTTTGTGCTTATGGGGTTTCCTTGGTTGGGGACTCTCTTGGGACCTTCCCTCTCATCCCTCTCTTCCTATCCCAACCTTTCTCTTGCTCCTTCTAATTCCTTGTGAGATTCTTGAACTTTCATTGAACTCTTGAGATTGAGTTAAGTTCTCCTCCTACAGCTTACCCCCTAGTGCGTCGAAAGCCATAGCGTCGCGAATACTTTATCAATCAACATGATTCAAATTGGGAACGGTAGCTGAGATTAAGAGCTACAACATATCCAAGTTTCGCGACATTCCAACGGCTAGTTGTTTGTCGACGTCGTTTCTTGTGAAGACGACTTTTCTGTCCAGAATTTCGGATTTATATTTTGAGTAATTCTAGCTCCTAAGTTCACCTAGACTCCGTCCTTAATCCTAACAGATCCATGCCGGTGCACCCCGTTTTCTGTGGCCGTTCGCCGTTCGCTACGCCGCTCACCAGCTTAACCTGTGGCCCCGCTCCCAGCGGCCGCAGGTTTCGCCGACCCTCCTTTGGACCGGGTCCCCCGGTGACGCGTCTGCGTTCCACGTTTGGGGCTGCCTTGCTCACGTTCGTGCCTCTGGCACGGACAAGCTCACTGCGCGCACTGTCCCTTGTGTCTTCCTTGGGTCCCCCCTGGACTCGTCTGACTGGCTCTTCTACCACCCGCAGTCTCACCACTTCCTCCACTCTCGTGACGTCACCTTTGACGAGTCCGTCTCCTTCTACCATCGCTTCCCTCACCGAGGTCTCCCGGTTTCCCCCCCCCTGTTCCTTGCCCCCTCTCCCCCGGTAGCCCCTCCTCCCCTCCCGCCGCGTATGCCCCGTCTGGTGTCTCCCATGTCACTCCCCTCCCGTCAGTTGTTCCTGGTGAGGAGTCTGCTGACTCTGGTGGTTCCCCCGCCCCGCCCTTGCCACGTCCCCCTTCCCTGTTGTCTCTGCCCCTACTGTCGCAGTCGCCGCCGTCGTCGCCGTCGCCGCCGCCGCCGCCGTCGCAACCACCGCCGCCGCCGCCGTCGCAACCACCGCCGCCGCCGCCGTCGCAACCACCGCCGCCGCCGCCGCCGCCGCAGCCACTCTTGGCCTCTGGGGATGCTGGCGCTGAGGAGGGTGTTCGTCCTGCGGCTCCTCGCGTGGTTTGTCCCGGCGGGCCTGGGGGTGGCGCTGGGGCTGGGGAGGGTTCTCGCTCTAGGGGTGTTGGTTCTGGTGGTGCTGCTGTTTAGTGTTCTCCCGGAGGTCGTCGTGCCCCTGCCGGTTCGAAGGTCGAGCACCAGCCGCCACCGCAGCCGCCGCAGTCGTCGCCGCCGGTCTCCGCTCTTCGCCTGCTCGGCCTTCCCTCCCCTGACTGCTCGCCGGTGTCTCCCCCACCTCCTCCTCACCTTCCTGTCTACGGCCATGTGTTCCCGCCCCTGGACTCTTCTCCGGCCCGTCTTCCTCCTCGTTCCCCTCTTGTGTCCCCTCCGCTCTCTCCTGACCCTACACCTCCTTCCCACATTTGGTCTCGCCGTCCCTCACGTGCTCGTCCCGTCTCCCCTGTCCCGCGCTCCCACCCTATGTTACTCCGTTCTCACTCGTCTCGTCCTCCCCTCCTCCCTCGTCTCTTGTTGTTGCACCTCCCCCGCTGTCTGACTACCTCCGTACCGCTCGTCCCCTTGTCCCTCGGGTCCTTGCCTCTCTTGTTACAGACCCGTCTGTTCCTGTCTCTCGCCTTGACGCGCTTGTCGCCGCTGTCGCTGACTTCGCCTCTACCCACCGCCTTGACTACGCTACCGCTCTGGTCTCTGACCCTGCCCGTCCTGCGTCCGTCGAGGGTGCACCTGCCCTTGGTAGTGACGTACTAGAGGACAGGCAGTACGAGCTTGCTTTCCTTTCCGATGCCGCTCCCCATCTCTGCTCCATGCTGTTAGTCCCTGAGGGTGACCCAGACGCCTCCGACATCCCGACCCCTCGCACCTACGCTGAGGCCACCTCGGGACCGTGGGCCTCTCAGTGGATAGCTGCCATGGAGCAGGAGATGGCATCTTGGAGGTCCACCGGCACTTATGTCGACGCAGTTCCCCCGCCTGGGTTGAACGTAGTCGATGGTCGGTGGCTCTTCAAAGTGAAGCGCCCCCCTGGAGAGCCGCCTGTCTTCAAGGCGCGCTACGTGGCCAGAGGCCTTAGCCAGCGCGAGGGGGTTGACTTCTTCCAGACCTTCGCCCCAACCCCGAAGATGACCACTCTTCGGGCGCTGCTACACGTAGCAGCACAGCGCGACTACGAGCTTCACTCCCTCGACTTCTCTACTGCCTTTCTTCAGGGCAGCCTACACGAGCAGGTCTACCTACGTCGACCACAGGGCTTTACTGGTACCTTCCCCCTTGGGACCCAGTGGCTTCTCAGGCTCTCGGTCTACGGCTTGCGTCAGGCTCCTCGTGAGTGGCACGACACGCTGCGTGCCACGTTAGCAGACCTGCAGTTCTTTCCGTCCTCTGCTCACCCCTCGCTGTTTGTGCGTTCTGGCCAGACTCCGTTCTACATCATTGTCTACGTAGATGACCTGGTCTTTGCTACTGCTGACAGGGACGCATTGGCCTCTGTGAAGGCCGAGCTGCTGAAAAGACACACCTGCACTGACCTTGGAGAGCAGCGTCGCTATCTTGGCCTAGAGATCTCCAGGGACAGAGCAGCATGCACCATCAGTCTGACACAATCACACTTGGTGCGTCAGGTCCTTCAGAGGTTCGGTCTTCAGTTCTCCTCCGCACAGCCCACATGTCTACATGTAGACCATGGGCTCTCTGCTCCAATTCCTGAGGAGCCGGTAGAGCCCAGTGGACCCTCCACATAGCTGGTGGGTTGGCTCATGTACCTGATGACTTGCGCTCGCCCAGATCTTGCATACCATCTCAGCATCCTGGCTCGCTTTGTGGCCACTGGCAGACACCGGCCACCGCACTGGTCGGCCGTTTAGTGGGTTTTGCCATATCTAGCAAGTACATCGGGCATGGGGTTAGTGCTAGGAGGACGCGGGCCAGTGGTCCTCACTGGGCATACAGACGCTTCTTGGGCAGACGACTCTGAGACTCTCAGGTCGTCTCAGGGCTACTGCTTTAGCCTTGGTTCGGGTGCTATCTGTTGGAGATCCACTCGCTCGTCATCTGTTGCTCAGTCCAGCTGTGAGGCTGAGATCTACGCGGGTGCCATGGCGGCACAGGAGCTCCGCTGGCTGACCTTCTTGCTCACTGACTTAGGTGAGCGGCCTAGCTCTGCCCCGGTACTGTACGCTAACAACAGGGCCATGATCCTCCTGTGTCAGGAGCATCGGCTTGAGGGCAGAGCGAAGCATATCCAGCTGCGGTACTTCCTCCTGCACGAGCTACAGCAGCGTCGCCATGCCCGTGTAGTTCACTTGGCCTCCGGTGCCAAAACAACTTATATCTTTACTAAAGCGCTTGCGCCTAACGATCATCAGCGGCACTGTGTACAGCTTGGTGCTGTTCCTTTAGCTTCTCATTTGCTAGGGCCATGATTTTGTACTCGCTATACTATATATACGTGTCTGACTGGCCTTGTGGCCTTACCTCCAGTGGCTGGACTAGAAGTGCCGCACTGGCTTGCTTTAGTCTTGTTTGTACTCTTGCTGACTGGTCTCCGGACCCCTGCCTCAGTGGTTGGACTAGTAGTGCCACCCTGAGCTGTGTGCTTCTTGCTTAGCACCACCCCTTATCTAGCCTAGGGGGTGTGTCAACTTATGCATATGATCTATGTAGAAGTTATAGGCTAGACTAGGTGTGCGTTTCTAGTGAGTACAACCCAACAGGTATATGTTCTAGGTTTCTCCTTCTAGTAAATCATTCACGTAATCTAACATTAACACCCAGTCATTTTTTTAGTGAATTTTTATATATACCATAGGGTGTTATATACGGGGGATTACGGTAGCTAGGAGTAGGAGGAAGCCATGGAATGACGTAAGGTTTAGTGAGGAGAAAGTTGAGGAGAGACAAGAATGAGAGACTAGGAAGAGAGAGGCATACAAGGAGGGAGTTGTACCCTTTACAGTAGAGTTCGATGAATATACAAAGCCTACCAATTATATAACATAATATATAATTTAATAAATCAATCATTATATGATACAACGATGTATACCCCGGCTTCATGAAGAAACCTAGGTTGACTCGCACGCGACAAATGCCTCCAGGATCATGCCAACGTCGTTGATCACGAACAGCCCATAACAAACAAGGCTCCAACATTTCGGGGAACCTTATAGTCCCCTTTTGCTCGCATTGTAACGCATTATCCCATGTACTCCATTTCCGTCGGGTCGCGAAACTGGCGTAATGAAAATAGAACATGTATTAAGTGTAGAATTACTTCACTTCGTGCCTATCTCAGTTGGCACAATGGTTTCACGAAAAATATTCTTGTAAGAGACGCTCCTATAACGCATAAATGAGGAAGTGGCCGCGGGTCGGAATTGTTGAAACAATGGGTTACCAATCAGGGAATGCTCCGCGCTGTTTGTTACCATTGAGGGGTAATTGGTACCTCGCTGGGGCGCCACAGAGATTTTGTGACCATGAAGGGATAGGGCAAAGGTGTTGAGTGACCCGCTGGGGTTGCCCTTGAGATCCTCGGGGAAGGGCCACAGGTGCAGAGCCTGGGGGGCTATGGGCGCACTTACCCGCTATTCAACAAGCCCTTTTAACCCAGTGGTTAGTGGCTAGGTTTCTGACATGGTACATCAGAGCCAAAGGTCTTGGGTTCAACTCCCGGTGCCAGCGCTGCAGAGGCACTCGTGTCTTCCACCTATCCCAGCGGGGGGGGGGGGTGTTGAGTGACCCGTTGGGGTTGCCCTTGAGATCCTCGGGGAAGGGCCACAGGTGCAGAGCCTGGGGGGCTATGGGCGCACTTACCCGCTATTCAACAAGCCCTTTTAACCCAGTGGTTAGTGGCTGGGTTTCTGACAAAAGGCCCTAGGGCAAAGCCGATCTGACGGCTACAATTGTGCCATGCGTGTGATTGCTGACGTCAGAACCCCCAATGATGGTTACCCGGGAGTTAAATACCAAAAAAAGCACGTGTGGTCGGAGCCTCGCCATGTTTACCGATAATATTTGGTTTAGGTGATTGAATTGTACTCATGATTCTCAGGTTACTCATTATGGAG